TTAATCAGCCAATCATTTTAATGATTGTTGTTAGATTTCTTGTTTATTTATTTTATTCCATGAAACGTATATGCTGCCTGATTGTAAAAAAACACAACACCCAAAACCCTCAAAGTGGTTTACAAAAAGAGCAAACAATAAAACAGAAAAACCAGCGACCGTACTTTAAAACATACAAAGGTTAAAATAAATCACTATATGTACAGTGTGTGTGTGTGTGTGTGTGTGTGTGTGTGTGTGAAAGGTAAAGGATCCTTGGACAGTTAAATCCAGTCAAAGGCAACTATGGGGTTGTGGTGCTCATCTTGCTTTCAGGCTGAGGGAGCCAGCGTTTGTCCACAGACAGCTTTCTGGGTCATGTGGCCAGCATGACTAAACCACTTCTGGCTCAACAGAACACTGTGATGGAAACCGGAGTGCACGGAAACGCATTTTACCTTCCCGCCACAGGGGTATCTATTAATCTACCTGCACTGGTGTGCTTTCGAACTGCTAGGTTGGCAGGAGCTGAGGCAGAGCAATGGGTGCTCACCCCGCCACGTGGATTCGAACCACTGACCTTTTGATTGGCAGGCCCAAGAGGCTCACTGGTTTAGACCACAGAGCCACTTGCTTCCTGAGTAAACAAGCATACAATCACTGATAGGTCCACCTGCCATTGTGAGGCTCAAAGCAATGAAGACGATGCCTCCCCACCTGTTGCCATTGGCTGTGGGTTTCTTGTGATGTCACAAACGCCCTTGGCAACTGAGTGGATATAAAGGCAGGCCAGGGGGAAAGCCCTTTTCTGTTTCCAACAGTACCCATCTGGCATTGGATGTGACAATCAGCACTGCCCAGGTTTCTTCCACTTGGAGGAGGCAAAGTGGTGAATGGAAGGAGGCAATCCTCTGGCAGTGGGATGCTAGGGAGTGATAATAAGGCAACTTTGCTTGCTTGAAGGCTGCTGCGGATGTCTCATGATGGACCTAACAGTAGCTTCTGGCACAACGGGACACTGTGACGGAAACCAGAGCGCACGGAAATGCCGTTTACCTTCCCGCCGGAGCGGTACCTATTTTTCTACTTGCACTTTGACATGCTTCCGAACTGCTAGGTTGGCAGAAGCTTGGACAGAACGGGAACTCACTCCGCTGCGGGGATTCAAACTGCCGACCTTCTGATTGGCAAGTCCAAGAGGCTCAGTGGTTTAGACTACGGTGCATCCTGCGTATTCTGTATCGCATCTAGTTATATTGTATGAACTGGCAAGATACAAACGCTTTTATAAATAAATAAATATTCAGGGGTATTCCTCGCCTGCTGCAAATAGATCCGAGTTGCAGCAAGGCATTCTGTGCAAAATAAAAAATGCCGTCGGTATACTTTTCGCCATTAGATGGCGGAGGAGTCCCAGGATTTTTCTCTTGCGAAAACTCAAATGACCACCCATTGTGCATTGTTGCAGCCCTAAAGCAATGTCCTTCCAAATGAAGACTCAATTCCCTTTTCCCTTCCCAACACCTTCAAGAAGTGTTCAGAATATTTAATACTGAAATAACAGCAGCAACAACAATAACATCATCATCATCATTATTATTATTATTATTATTATTAATTACCCCTTCCATCTGGCTGGGTTTCCCCAGCCACTCTGGGCAGCTTACAGCATATCTAAAAACAAAATAAAAACATCAAGCATGAAAATAAATAAATCTCCCAAATAATCTTGGAACCATTCAAGGCTTTCACTGATTCATAAAAACAGGGAGACCTAACCAAAGGGCATGGGCGTAGCCAAGGGGGGGAGGGTGTAGCCGTCCCCCCCCATCAACAAAAATCAATACAAATGCATAGCTAACTGGGGTTCTGCCCCCCCAACAAAAGGCCTACCCCTCCCTAACAAAAATCCTGGCTACGCCCTTTGTCAAGGGGGAAAGAATTGTCCTTCAGCAACATTCCGCATCCTAGATGATGATGGATTGCCATGTTGGTTGGGGCTGATGGGAGTTGGAGTTCAGCGACACCCAGGGGCAAAACATCCTCACCCCTTTTCTGTACAATAACAGGACATTCATTTTGCCATCAATTTTGTAAACATATTGCAGTTGTTTGAAAGTTATGCAAGAAGTTAATCTATTTTGTAAAGCATTGCTGTTCTTCAGATGCACAAAAAATTGAAACGTTTTGTATGTGTTATAGATGTTTACCTACATAATTTAATCAAATGACATTAAATCAGGCAAAATAGCCAGGATAGAAATCTTCTTGCCAGAATTAATTCCCCCCTCCCTCCAAAGGAATCTTTGAGCAGTTTTCTGACACATTCCGCCAAAGCCATTAGCAGGCTATTCACATCCCAAGAGCAGTCAGAAAGTCTCAGATCCCTACAATTAGATGTAATCAACAGGTTTTATGTTCATAAAAATGTCTTAATGATTCTATGATTTCATTCTTTTGTTCTTGCAAGCCCAGCTGAAAATTATGCCATGTTATAAGATTATAAATGAACAGGGAAATGTTTTAAGGTCTTTCAGGAACTTGTTTTAAAGCGGCTTTTTTAAAGAATTGCATGTTTTAAAACACAGCCCATTGTCTGGGGAAAAAGTAGGTTGATAAACAGCTATCATTATATTGTACAGTGTCCATTTTTTAAAAAAATTAAGAAGTCGCCGCTGTGGGTTAAACCACAGAGCCTAGGACTTGCCGATCAGAAGGTTCGCGGTTCAGATCCCTGCGACGGGGTGAGCTCCCGTTGCTTGGTCCCTACTCCTGCCAACCTAGCAGTTCGAAAGCACGTCAAAGTGCAAGTAGATAAATAGGTAACGCTCTGGAGGAAAGGTAAATGTGTTTCCGTGCACTGCTCTGGTTTGCCAGAAGCGGCTTAGTCATGACAGAGCTGTACACCGGCTCCCTCGGCCAATAAAGCGAGATGAGCGCCGCAACCCCAGAGTCGTCTGCGACTGGACCTAATGGTCAGGGGTCTTTTTACCTTTTTAACTGACAAGATGCATAACATTTGGGTAATTTTTTAAGGCATCCCATTTTTTGTTTCTGCTGTAAATATTCCCAATGCCCTTCAATCCACGTATCAATGAGACATCCATGTTTATAGTGGAGCATGCAATTCCCCAACCGTCACTTTCGCCAGAGTATCCAGTTAGTCCAATGTTCCCCATTTACCAATTTCTGTCCCCTACAGCAGGAGTGAGCAACCAGGGGCTTCCAGATGTTACTAGACTTCAGCTTCCAGAAGCCCCAACCAGCACAGTCAACGTTCAGAGATACTGGGAGTTGTAGTCCAACAATATCTGGAGGGCTACAAGTTCTGTATCCTGCTCTGCAGAGCGGACCACAAACAGTCTTTTATCATGGAAAACTAAACAATCCAAGCATCGACTTAGGCCCAGTCGGCAGATATAGGACTGCTTCTACATGCTCCTGTGTAGGTAGGAACCATAGACACTGTAGCATACAGAATCTGCAGTAGTTTAGTGTCATTTTTAGCACATAATATGAACCTTCACACAGCATGAAGTTACATCATTCCATAGAGCAGTGGTTTTCAACTGGTGTGCCGTGGCACCCTGGGGGGACTTGAATGATGGCAGACCCTCCCAGTGTCCCTATTTTCCAGGGACAGTCATGGATTCCTTATGACATCCCTATTTTCACTGGAGAAATGTTGGAGAGCATGGAATAGGGCGTCCCTATTTTCACTGGAGAAATGTTGGTGAGTATGGAATAGGAAGTCCCTGTTTTCACTGGAGAAATGTTGGCGAGTATGGAATAGGAAGTCCCTGTTTTCACTGGAGAAATGTTGGAGAGCATGGAATAGGACATCCCTATTTTCATCGGAGAAATGTTGGCGAGTATGGAATAGGAAGTCCCTGTTTTCATTGGACAGCACAAAGCTGGAACCTCCCTACTCCAACAGACAAACAAGATGCGCTTCTCTACTTTTTCATGTATTTTGGTGCTAAGTGATGCTGGTTGAAACAGTGCTCCCTGAGTGTGCGCCTCTCTAGCCCATCCTATGATCCTGGCTGCTGAGGGGAGCCCTGATTCACTGAGCCACTGCCCGTTGAGGCTGTGTAGAAATCCTGCTTCAATTTTAATTTATAGGGTGCCACCTTACAAAAACAACACTGAGCAGGGCGGTGAATGGCTCATAATTTTAAGAAAGCCCTTTCAAAGCTATGCTGCTTAAATTTTAATCTTGATAGGCAAAACCACTAAATGACAAAACAAGTTTTTACCAGGTACAGGGGATTCCCCACATGTGTGCGATTGGCATGAATGCTCCCACTTACACATATGCTGAAAATGGCACCCAAAAGGGGTGGGGGCGGAATGGGGGAATCCCCACTTATGCGTGTTCAAGTGATGCAGTGGCCCAGAATGGAACTCCCACCTAAGTGGGGATTCCCCTGTATTCCACAGGGGAGCCACAGAAAAAAACGTGGTTGGTCAAGGACTCAAAAAGGTTGAAAACCTCAGCCATAGAATGTAAAGCACACAAGTGTGACTTGGTGTTGGGCACACCAGGGAAATTTTACACAAACAACCAAGGCTTCCAGTGAAGTGGGAAGGGCATTGGGTTGCCATATTTCAAAAAAATCACTGATCCTCTTGGGCTTGCTGATCAGAAGGTTGGCAATTTGAATCAGTGCAACAGAGTGAGCTCCCGTTGCTCTGTCCCTGCTCCCGCCAACCTAGCAGTTCAGAAGCATGCCAGTGGATTTGAGCCCCACATTTGGCAAAAGATTCCTGCATTGTAAGGGGTTGGGCTAGATGACCCTCATGGTCCCTCCCAAACTCGATTCCCTGATTCTGATTGCATGAAACCAATATTCCCCCTCCCACGGGTTCCATCTATTCATGAATATCTACCTTCCACACATCACATTCGTGAACATGCAAACACCATTCTGCCTCAACCACATTTGAAACCTCCCATTTACTCACACAAACATATACCAGCCAATATCCAAAAACATGACATACATTCACGTTTGTACCCTGGCTTCAATCCACAAATATCCACTGACTTCTGTTGACTGTCTTCCAAAGGTGAACTTCCATCAGCCGACATCCACAAACATCAGTCTGCTTTAGCCTTGTAGCCCCCACCAACTTCCAAATTCAAATGCCACTGGCTTCCATCCACCAACATCTGCCAGCTTCTCTTAGGTCCATCATGAGACGTCCACCAGCTTCCAACCACGGATACCAACAGCCTTCAAGCAAGCTAACTTGCGTTATTATCGCTCCCTAGCATCCCACTGCCAGAGGATTGCCTCCTTCCATTCACCACTTTGCCTCCTCCAAGTGGAAGAAACCTGGGCAGTGCTGAATGTCACATCCATTGCCAGGTGTGTCCTGCTGGAAACAGAAAAGGGCTTTTCCCTTGGCCTGCCTTTATATCCCCTCAGTTGCCAAGTGCTTTTGTGACATCACAAGAAACCCACAGCCAATGGCAACAGCTGGGGGAGGCATCATCTTCATCACTTTGAGCCTCACAATGGCAGGTGTACCTATCAGTGATTGTGTGCTTGTTTATTCGGGCCACGGGTGGTGCTGTGGTCTAAATCACCAAGCCTCTTGGGCTTGTCAATCAGAAGGTCAGCAGTTTGAATCCCCATGACGGGGTGAGCTCCCGTTGCTCTGTCCCAGCTTCTGCCAACCTAGCAATTTGAAAGCACATCAAAGTGTAAGTAGATAAATAGGTACCGCTCCGGCGGGAAGGTAAACGGCATTTCCGTGCGCCTGGCTCATGGTGTCGTTGCCAGAAGCGGCTTAGTCATGCTGGCCACATGACCCGGAAGCTGTCCGCTGGACTCCAGCTTCGGCCAGTAAAGCGAGATGAGCGCCGCAACCCCAGAGTCGCCTACGACTGGACCTAACCAGTCAGGGGTCCTTTATCTTTACTCTTTTCCAAAAGTAAAATTCTGACAAGATGCATAAGACCAGCTTTCTTTAGGAGACCTCAAAATTTTGAGCTTTTAGAGGAACTTCCCTAAGCTTTTGGTGCTGTTTCTGCTGTAAATATTCCCAATGCCCTTCTATCCATGTATCAATGAGACATCCATGTTTATAGTGGAGCATGCAATTCCCCAACTGTCACTTTCACCTGAGTATCCAGGGCCTATCAGTGATGGTGTGCTTGTTTATTCCGGATGCAGGTTGTGCTGTGGTCTAAACCACTGAACCTCTTGGGCTTCCCAATCAGAAGGTCAGCGGTTCAAATCAGTGTGATGGGGCAAGCTCAGGTTGTTCTGTCCCATCTCCTGCCAACTTAGCAGTTCTAAAGCTTGCCAGTGCATAGTACGATCAAATCGGCCGCGTTGCCTGGGGACTCGCCTTTGCTCAGCGCTTCCCAGCGGAGAGGTGACAGTGGTTTTCCTTGCTGCATCCCCTTTGCCAGGTTGCTGCACTGTGGGAACCACCGCTCGAGGCTTCATTTGGCTGCTGGCTGGGCTTTCTGCCTTTGGCTCAGAGGGGCTCAGAAGTTGAACATACCTGTCCTCGGAATCGGATGGATACATCATCGATGGCCCACTCACCCTTGCCAGGGAAAAGGTCTGTCTGGAGCGGGGGCACATGGTGAGGGGAAAGGAAAGGCGATCTTGTGGGAAGGGGGGCTTTTGGATTTGTTTTGGACGCTCCTTCAATTGACTGTTATGGGGGAAAGGAAAGGAGCTGGTTGACTAAAATGGGTGGCGATCTTATGGCAAAGGGAGAGGCTGTGTTGGTGTGGCTAGTTAATACAAGCTGATGGGGTTTTTGAACGCTCGGGAGGGGAGGCAGTGGAAGACAGGAGTGCCTGGGACAGGTGAGGCTGCTGGCCTTTTTTGGAAGCCGATCCCCTAAGCTTTTGGAGCTGTCTGGTCCCTTATTTTCAAATCTGTAAGTTGACAGCTATGCATCTGGATTTTCCCTGACATTTGCCGATTCGGCAAAATTCCCCCCTGACGCTGTTTTTAACATCTGAAAACCAGGACATGTTAGGAATTTTCCTGATGTATGGCAAGCCTAGAAGGGTGTTTTACTAGCAGTTGTCATATCTCAGGGTTGGCACCCTGCCTCAGGACTACAAATATAAGCACCCAGTTCTAACCCCAGAGATGCAGCTGAGGATGCAAGAACCAGAGGGAGACACAGGAGCCCCTGTTTTAGGCTGGAACTCCAAAGCAGCTTCTCCATTCCTCACCCCAGGTAGGGAGAACACTCATAATCACAGCATGTATTTCTGAACACATTTCAAAGTGTTGGTGCTGACATTTAAAGCCCTAAACAGCCTCGACCCAGTATAGTTAAAGGAGCGTCTCCACCTCCACCGTTCAGCCCGGACACTGAGGTCCAGCTCCGAGGGCCTTCTGGTGGTTTCCTCACTGTGAGAAGTGAGGTTACAGGGAACCAGACAGAGGGCCTTCTCGGTGGTGGTGCCTGTCCTGTGGATCGCCCTCCCGTCAGTTGTCAAGGAAATAAGCAACTACCTGATTTTTAGACGACATGTGAAGGCAGCCCTGTTTAGGGAAGTTTTTAATGTTTGGTGTTTTATTGCGTTTTTAATATTCTGTCGGGAGCTGCCCAGAGCCTTCCCAAAACCCTGGATTGCAGCTGCCAGACAGAGTGGACAGCACTATGTGCTGGAGTCCAGGGGTCACCAAACGTTTTCAGCATGGGGCCGGTCCACTCTCCCTCAGACCTTGTGGGGGGCCGGACTATATTTTGGAAAGAAAAAAATGAACTACCGTATTTTTCGCCCTATAGGGCGCACCGGCCCATAGGGTGCACCTAGTTTTTGGGGGGGGAAATAAAGAAAAAAAAATATTCCCCCTCCCAGGCACGGGGCTGGGGCAGGGGAAGCCCGAGCTTCCCCTGACCCCAGCCCCCAGAACAGGCTGCTATCCGCAAGCCTAGGGAGCCCAGCGGGAACTCCCGCAGGCTCCCAAGGCTTGTGGATAGCTTCCTGAAGCCTCTCCAGGCTTCAGCGAAAGCCTGCATTCGCCCCATAGGACGCACACACATTTCCTCTTCATTTTTGGAGGGGGAAAAGTGCATCCTATAGGGCGAAAAATACGGTAATTCCTATGCCCCACAAATAACCCAGAGATGCATTTTAAATAAAAGGACACATTCTACTCATATAAAAACAAGCTGATTCCCAGACCGTCCGCAGGCCAGATTTAGAAGGCGATTGGGCCGGATTCGGCCCCTGGGCCTTAGTTTGCCTACCCATGTGCTGGACCAATTGTCTGACTTGATATAAGGCAGTTTCCTCTGCTGTTACTTGCTTGCAAGCAAAGGTGGATGAAAACTGCTCTGCAGAGTTTTCCCTCACCACGTGGGATAAACAGGGATCAAGGGGGTGGGGATGGAGGCATTGGGGGGGCAGGAGCGGTGTGTGCAGCCCCACAATGAGGCTTCCTGCTCAGGCACAATGCCTGAGCAAAGCTTTCTTGCAGACTTCAGTCTTAAATCTTGGGGTAGCTGGTGCAGGTCCTAAGCACAATGCAAAAAACTAGAATAGGAGCCAGCAAGTATAAACTTGCCCGAGGCAAACACACTATTTCTTGGAAGCAACAAAATATTATAGTTCCAAGACAGCTAGGTACCAGGTTCTATCATTAAAATCATTTCCTACCCCACCCATTGGGCGTCCATCGTGTTAAGAGCCAGACAAAATGCAATTAAAGTATTTATTGCCTGAGGTGTCGGCCACACTTTGGCTAAGTCAACCAGAAGTGTGTGTGTTTGTGTGTGGAGATTTGCTGATTCTGCAAGGTCTGCTTCCCCAACCAGTTGCTAGAAACCCAGTAGGGCTAACAGAGGAGGAAAGATAATATTGGAAAAGAAACTGATCTTGCTGTAGTTGACAGCATGAGATATATATACATATCTCTCTCACACAGACACACAGAGAGAGAAATAAAAGGAGGTTTCTCATCTGTCATCGCAGGTGCAGTTTGATGGCAATGAAAGGTGTTATAATGACTGCTCACAAATAACTTAAGTGACAGCTCTCTGTATTTATAAAACTACTTCTGTGCCACCTTTTGGAGCACACCTCATCCAAGGCAACTCAAAAAACCATAAAACAGTTAGAACTAGCAAAGGCAGTTTTAACATTAGCAATGATAACAAAGGCCAGTTAAAACAAAAGAAAACGAAGAGGGGGCGGAGGAGGATGAGAATTAAGCAGAAAGGAAAAGGTGAGTGCAGTTAGAGTGAAGAACTGGGGCAAAGCACGTGAGAATTTATCATGGATGAAAAAGCAAGCCCTCACTGTTTTAACAGGGTTCTGTAAATCTAGTCTAGACAAAGCTCTCAACTTTATGCTGTAAAAATAATCCCATAATGGCACAGGATCAAGAAAATTCTTTAATGGGCATTTTCCATCTCTCCTTTTTGGTGACTCTGTGTTTTATTGTTACAGTCCATTAGGAGGGGTGGGGAGAACCTTGGAAAACAATGCATGTAAAATGTATGTGTGTCAGCACATATGAATGCTTTAAAAAATACTTAAAATTTATTTTAGGCCAATATTTGAATTTGATATATGTTTTGCTGTTTTGTTTTGTTTAAGGAGAAGAAGAACAAGGCTTCAGTAATGAAGGGACGTCTCCAGAAGTGGATTTTACATTGTGATTATATAAAGTGCAAAAATTTTGTTTACATACTATTTTGTAGATGTTCTGCTTCCCATTATGGAACCCCTAAATCAAGCATTTGACTGTAATGTTTTATTTATGATGTTACTTAAAATAATTTCGAAAACCAAAATGGTTTATAAATAAGTGAAAGGAAGCATACAGTGATACCTCGGGTTTAAACGTCTCCGTAGACGAACATTTTGGTGTTCGAACACCGTAAACCCGGAAGTAAATGCTTCAGTTTTCAAACACACCTCGGAAGTCGAACATGCCGTATTGAGTTTTCCATATTGAGTTTTTGGTATTGAGTTTTCCATATTGAGGCTTCCATATTGAGTTTTCGGTTTTCGAACGTTTCGGAACTTGAACAGTCTTCAGAAATGGACTTGGAAAAGGCAGCCCTTCAAATAGGAGACACCTTCAAATACAGTGGTACTTAGGTTCTCACACGTAATCCATTCCGGAAGTCCGTTCCAAAACCAAAGCGTTCCAAAACCAAGGCGCACTTTCCCATAGAAAGTAATGTAAAACGGATTAATCCGTTCCAGACTTTTAAAAACAACCATTTAAACAGCAATTTAACATGAATTTTACTATCTAACAAGACCTCCGGAACAGATTAAGTTTGAGAACCAAAGTATCACTGCAGTCAATTTCTCATCTTTGTTGATGTTCCTTTTTGTATATATTCAGACTGAAGGTCTATCCATAAAGCTAGGAGAGGCGTACTGATACATTCCACCAGACAACACACATTCCTCTCTGGTTTCTTAATCCCCCTGACTGACTACCCATATTCAGGCTTTTTTTTGCTCCATTTCCTCTTTCTGCAAAGTTAAAGACCATGTTTTGGGCAACATAATGCCTAGAGAGATTTTCCTTTGTAGCCAACAACAACTTTTATATTATAGAGTTCTGGATCCCTTGGTTATTTTAGCAAAATCTTGTGGTTGGCCGTTTTCCTTTTTTGTTCTTCCAACATTTGCTGCTTCCATCTGTCCTTGCATGTTGCAGGAAAGGAGGGTGGATTCGCTACAATTTCCATGTTCTCTTGGAAACTGCTTATCTTCCTTTCCCCCCTTTTTAAAATAGGTGCGATTGAAAGGTCAGACCCACGGCTGGTATAAATGGAGATTTGCCGGCATGGAGTCACATGGATTTCCATTAGCAAAAGATCTATCTGCCTTCTTGCAATTAGCCTAATAGAATCAGAGAAACGCTAATAGACACTTAGGTCATCATGCCCATCCCCAAGGGACCAAAGCCTGACTTGCTTTGTACAGCCAGCCACCAGCCTGATTTCAAGCAATTGCAGGCATCCTAGTTCTGATCCGCTTTTCCTCCTAGCCTTTGATTTTGAGTGAATAATTTATGCTTGCTATATTTAAAGGATGCAGAGGCTAAACCCCGCCATTCACTGAATTTGCAGACTGAGCAACCTTTGTATCAGAAACCTCCTCTCCTCCCAGGGGGAAGGAAAGTGGTTATTACCCACCAGATGACAGCCTTGCACTGACTGCCTTTGCAATGTAGTTGTTTAACATTGCAGGGTTCTAACTCTCTCCTAGCATATATTTTGGTCCCGTGCGCAGGTTATAATCATGTTAGCAAAGACAACTGCTTGCTGCTGAGGCACTCCCATCCCTGCCTCTGATCTGTGTCTGATGCCATCTGGTACCATCTGCAGAGGCCAAGTTAACAAGGGCAATTGCATTGCCTTGCATGCCACAGCAAGAACAGGGGATAGTTAGGCACACATTCCCTCAGACGTGCGGAATTGCTATTTTAATGGTTAAGAGCCTTTGGGTATAACATTGAGTATGATGCCTGGGTAAAACTGCGGAATGAGAGTATAAAATTTACAGCATGTACCACCTTAAGAGGGACGCAGGTGGCGCTGTGGGTAAAACCTCAGCGCCTAGGACTTGCCGATCGTCAGGTCGGCGGTTCGAATCCCCGCGGCGGGATGCGCTCCCGTTGCTCGGTCCCAGCGCCTGCCAACCTAGCAGTTCAAAAGCACCCGTGGGTGCAAGTAGATAAATAGGGACCGCTTACTAGTAGGAAGGCAAACGGCGTTTCCGTGTGCTGCGCTGGCTCACCAGATGCAGCTTCGTCACGCTGGCCACGTGACCCGGAAGTGTCTTCGGACAGTGCTGGCCCCCGGCCTCTTAAGCGAGATGGGCACGCAACCCCAGAGTCGGACATGACTGGCCCGTATGGGCAGGGGTACCTTTACCTTTACCACCTTAAGAGAGAATACAATGAAAATGATGTATCGCTGGTACTTGACACCTGTTAAACTAGCGAGAATGTATAGAATGAGTAGTAAGACATGTGGGAAATGTAAAGATAAAGATGAAGATTTTTACCACATGTGGTGGACATGTGAGAAAATGAAACAGTTTTGAGAACTGATTCATAACAAACTGAAAAAGATATTTAAGTATACTTTCCCGAAAAAGCCGGAAACTTTTCTGCTAGGCTTGATGGGAAAGGAAATAGAAAAAGTAGGTCAAAGGTTATTCATGTATGCTACGACTGCTGCTAGAACTTTGTTAGCCAAAAAATGGAAAGTATCAGAATTACCAATATTAGAGGAGTGGCAGACAAAGATGGTTGACTATGTGGAACTAGCAAAACTGACCTGTAGGATCCGAAATCAGGAGGAAACAAAATTCCAAAGAGATTGGAGTAAATTTATAGAACATATAAGTAATAACTGTAGAAATTTGAAGACTCTGGCAGGAATGAAATACGACGTAGATAGGATTGGATACAATAAGAAACTGTGTAAAAGTAACTGAAGTAAGAAAGCCTGTTGAAGGGAGGGAAGGAAGTCAACGCTCAGCAGAGTGTGGGGAAAGAATGTGGAGAAATGACTGTTAAATTTCACTGTATTTTGTTTGCTTGTATTAAAGGAAAAACCAATAAAAAGCATTTTAATGGTTAAGAGCCATGCTCTGGACCGGGGGAGGTGATGGTGGGTGGAAGAAAATAAACCATCCCCAATGGAGCAGAAAAGACTCTTCACGTACGCGACAACAGCTGCACGGATGCTATTAGCCCAGAGATGGAAAGATGAAAGGGTCCCTACCAGAGAGGAATGGCAAATCAAGCTGTTAGACTGCGCCGAAATGGCAAAACTGACCGGAAAGCTCAGGGATCCAGAAGACAAAAGCTTCAAGAAAGAATGGGAAAATTTTTATAATTGATTTAGGAGACCACGGTAAGCAGATGAAAACATTAGCAGGATTTTAATCTCACTTGTAATGTAACAAATACTATGGACGATACGGTTAGATTTAAAGTAGAGATTATGAAATAATATGAGGTTGAAAACGTTGACAATGGAGAGGACCCATAGAGGGAATAGGGGGTGGGGGGTGGAGTCCCGAGATTCAGAAAAAACCTCTCCATATGGATATTTACTTGATTTTGTTACAAACCTATTTTTGTAAACTCGAATAAAAATGATTTCAAAAAATAAAATAAACCATTTTAGATATGCGAGCTGATTTGATGGATATGGTTTGGATTACCAGCTATCCACAAAAGTGGGGTGGGGATGGAATTCAGCTTAGCACGCCCAAATCATCAAGTGAAGCTTTTCAATACAGTGGTACCTCTGGATGCGAACGGGATCTGTTCCAGAGCCCCATTCGCATCCTGAAGCGAACGCAACCCGCATCTGCACATGCGTGGGTCACGATTCGCCACTTCCACGCATGCGCATGACGTCATTTTGAGCATCTGCGCATGCGCGAGCGACGAAACCGGCAGTAATGCGCTCCGTTACTTCCAGGTCGCTGCGGAGCGTAACCTGAAAACGCTCAACCTGAAGCGGACACGGAGCAATGGATCCAAACTACAAGAAAGAAGATTCCACCTAAACATTAGGAAGAACTTCCTGACAGTAAGAGCTGTTCGACAGTGGAATTTGCTGCCAAGGAGTGTGGTGGAGTCTCCTTCTTTGGAGGTCTTTAAGCAGAGGCTTGACAATCATATGTCAGGAGTGCTCTGATGGTGTTTCCTGCTTGGCAGGGGGTTGGACTCGATGGCCCTTGTGGTCTCTTCCAACTCTATGATTCTATGAAGCACATTTATCCCGAGGTATGACTGTACACAGAGGAGATGAGCATTATCACTGGTTAATATCTCCAAATTTGCTCTTACTCATGCAGGGTGCGGTCCTACAGATGCTATCACTGCGGGCCGTATTGTATTTCATTTGATTTTGTGGTCTTAATGATGTCTTACTGACATACGCTTGTTTTATTACTGATGCTGCTCATCGCCCTGGGCTCCAGATTGGAGGAAGGGTGGCACAGAACGCAAATCGATATGCAAATCGAACTGGAAGCTGCTGTTAGAGGCAGAAGAACTGACTGTGGAAAAAATAGATTCAGGTAGGTAGCCGTGTTGGTCTGACGTAGTCAAAAATTTTAAAAATAAAATTAAAAAATTGTCCAATAGCACCTTAGAAACCAACTAAGTTTGTTCTGGGTATAAGCTTTCGTGGAAGGCACCACATTGAGCCCCATAAAATGGAAGTCCATCAACGTATCTGAAGAAGTGTGCATGCACACGAAAGCTTATACCCAGAACAAACTTAGTTGGTCTCTAAGGTGCTACTGGACAATTTTTTAATTTATTGTGAAAAAATAGTTGGCAACCCTAGGTACCATTGACACAAGGTGCCATAGTGATAAAGGCAGGGTATATTCTGTATTTTCCTTATGCCATTATTTGATTATTTTTTTTATAAGTTAATAAGTGCATCACAGGATTTAACAGACTGTGAAGTTGGCTGTGCAAACCTGTACATGCATACTTAGAGGTAATTGCCACTGAGTTCAATGAGATAATCAGATATAGGACTGCAGACTAAAAACTATTATGCGACAATATAATACATATGTTGTATTCTGTTAATTGCCAGAATATATTTCTTACAGATGAAGGAATAGGTACAAGAACATTTTCAAAACGATGGATTTAATGCTTGAAGTGTGTGGTTGTGGTTGTGGTTGTTGTTTTACATAAGCTTGTTGTTGTTTAGTCGTGTCCGACTCTTCGTGACCCCATGGACCAGAGCACGCCAGGCACTCCTGTCTTCCACTGCCTCCCGCAGTTTGGTCAAACTCATGCTGGTAGCTTCGAGAACACTATCCAACCATCTCGTCCTCTGTCATCCCCTTCTCCTTGTGCCCTCCATCTTTCCCAACATCAGGGTCTTTTCCAGGGAGTCTTCTCTTCTCATGAGGTGGCCAAAATATTGGAGCCTCAGCTTCAGGCAAAATACTATGCATAACTGCTGGAGACTAAAGCCCACAGGACTCAATGGGACTTATTACCAAGTAAATACACAGAGGATAGCCTGTTTTGTTTTACAAACTAACAGTTGGAGGACTACACTCAGGTTACTGAAAGGCAAAGCAAATAACAAAGCCATGAGGAGCATTTGAGGAAATTCAGATTTATTCAAGTTAAAAGGACAATTACACACACAAACACGCCCACCCTTTAGTCTGGCATCTGGGTGTAAGCACCCGCTTTCCCTATATTGCTGTGGACTTTTAAGAAAGATGCCCTTCCATTTCCTTTGAAGAAAACAGTTTTATAACTCCCTAGGCCTGACAAGGAAGTGAGTTCTTCAGTAACGATTTGTCAATTGCTTTTGAAGTTCTTCTTAACCTTCCCTCTTGTGTGAGAGATTCCATTTCAAACTAAGAGGTGTTTTTGGTGGAAGAATCCTGTCCTAATTTGTCCCGCACAAATCCTTCCTCATCAGAAGGAAGAAGAATATTTTCTTTCAGCTAGGGAAAGTTACCTGTACATTGTCCCTGTCTTTTTTTTTCTTTTCTCCCTGTACATTTTAATAAAAATGGGTTTGTTTCATCATTCATTTCAATTAGGTTTCTTTTTGCACATTTTCAATTGGCTAGAATCCAAAGCTCTCCCTGTGGAAGAGAAAGGCACTTCCATTTGATCTGGCATGGATGAGGAGAAGCACTCCTGATTTCCATCTCCCAGCTGCAGCCTCTTCCACTGCATTCACAAACTACTCCAAAGGATCTTTCCATTCACGTGGAATCTTTCTTTTGGGGGGCTACAGCCAGAGAGAAATAAACTACCTCTTCCTCTTTGCATGAGCAAGAACCAGGCAGACAGCCTTCTCCGTAGTGGCGCCTGCCCTGTGGAACGCCCTCCCATCAGATGTCAAGGAAATAAACAACTACAGTGGTACCTCGGGTTACAAACGCTTCAGGTTACAAATGCTTCAGGTTACAGACTCCGCTAACCCGGAAGTAGTACCTTGGGTTAAGAACTTTACTTCAGGATGAGAACAGAAACCACACTGTGGCCCCATTAGCTATAGTGGTACCTCAGATTAAGAACGGTTTCAGGTTAAGAATGGACCGCCAGAACGAATTAAGTTCGTAACCAGAGGTACCACTGTATCTGACTTTTAGAAGCCATCTGAAGGGAAGTTTTTAATGACTGATGTTTTAATGTAATTTTAATATTTTGTTGGAAGCTGCCCTGAGTGACTGGGGAAACCCAGCCAAATGGATGGGGTATAAATAAATTATTATTATTATTATTATTATCATCATCATCATCATCATCATCACAGTGGACGCTTGGGTTGCGAACGTGATCCGTGCTGGATGCACGTTCGCAACCCGCAGCGGTGTGTCTGCGCACGTGCGGTTTACGATTTGGCACTTCTCCGCATGCGCAAAGCGCGATTTAGCGCTTCTGCACATGTGCAACTGCCGAAACCTGGAAGCAACCCGTTCTGGTACTTCCGGGTTTCGGCAGTCTGTAACTCAAAAAAACGCAACCTGAAGTGTCTGTAACCCGATGTATAACTGTATCATTATCATCTTTCAATTTGCACAGAGGAATTGAGGGATCCAAGTTGTTCTGCTTTGGTATAATTTTCCAAGGCTTGTCAATATTAGAGTTAGAAAAATGGGAGGTGGTTTCAGCTTGCCTTGGGCAAGTGTGTGTGTGTGTGTGTGTGTGTGCGCGCGCGCGCAAGAGTTTAAATGTATAGTGTATACTTGCAAAACATCCTGAAAGCGATACCGTTACTCTCTCCATGCCTTGATGTCACAGCTGCATTCATTTCTCTAGCACGCTCCAGATGGCAGAGGGGGGAAATTGAGTACTCCATAAAATCCAGAGCACTTGGAAAGTAATGACAAACAAATTACCCGCAACTCGTTCAGCGCCTATGGATTTGGGGAGAAGTTGCAGAAATGTGCAGCGTTCCTCTGGTGGTGAGGGTTTTTTTAAAAAAATGTCTCTTTGAGACTCCTCTGAACACGTTCCACAGCTGATCATTAATGGCCCCCCAAAGGCGGTGTTTTTGTACATTCTATATTTGTCTCTTTCTCAGAGGCAATATTTTTCACCTCTGTTTTATTCATTATAAAAGCCAAGCCAGCATTTGCTTGTATACTTCACCCTTCTACGGTTTCTTCCCTAGCCTCAGGATATTTGGTTTAATTTAATGTGAAGCTAAGCTTAATTTACTGCTGAGAATTTCAAGACGTTTTAGACAAGAGATGTGAGCAACTTGTGAGGGCAGCAGATTTGTGTCTTTAAATGTGAAGGGAGCCTCAAAGGGGGAGGAGGAAGGAAAGAGGGGAAGCTCACTTAGATGAAGATGTAATTTATTTATTTTTAAGCACCTGCGTTTTCTTTATTGTAACACCCAACACATTTGGAATATAACTACTTGTCATCATCACAGGCAGTAATCACTTCATGTCTCCAGAATGAAGATTTTCTTTCACGAGAGCAACTGACAAAGGAAATTTAGTAGGGTAGCAGTGACTGCTACCTCGGGTAATGATTTATCATACTCAGAACATGTTAGTCATGGTAAATGGAGTGCTTTTACAAAAATTTCCTCAGCTCTTTTTGTGGTTGGGGGTCTGAATTGTTGTTCTCCTGAGTTCACCTGAAATATACTCGGAGTCGAGAGTGGATTTCATGCTCTTTATTCAGTTCATAGTGGTGAGGAGGAATGGGAGTTTCCCCACAATATCTGCTTTATATACATTATTTACACAATGGGCTGCACATGATTGGCTAATTCTGGGATTCTCCTATAGGCCAATCAGGTTGTGGATTCACTTAAATCTGGAGCCGGATTGGGTGGCTCCTGCGGACCAATCATACTGCTGCATTGTTCTAGGACCAATTAGACTGCTGCATTCTGAATCCTATTGTTCTAGGACCAATCAGACTGCTGCATTTCGGATCCTATTCAACTCAGTACATAACATCACCCAACATCCAACACCCATAATTTCCCTCTCACACAGCCCCTCCTGTTGGAGTTTTAATGCTAGCCAGGCTCACTTCCAATATTTGAGACTTAAATTGTGTGTCTCGATTGGGGAAGGGCTTCAGGCGAGGGGCAGGCTGGAGGAAGGTTTGGTTTTTAAAACTTAAAATTTACATTTAAAGCCATTTCAGATTTCACTGTTGGGATTTGACCTTGAGGCATAGTAAAAACCTTCGTTTTGATAATGACTTTTAATACAACAATCTTACCAATTTGCTCACACCTTCTCAGTTTTTTTAACCCTCCCAAATTAACAGGGCCTATAATTAAGAGTGTTGGGAGGGAATAATTTGGAAGGCTGCAAATTCTCAGGGGTTTTTGTTTTTTTTTACAATGAAGCGTTAATTGGAAGAATTTATGTGGCAATTTCCTGCTTAAATTCATTATTTCCTAGGAATAATGATAACCAATTAGTCTGTTTTGACATATAAAGACATTACCTGAAATGGGTTGGTAATTGTGCTTTCAGCCTAGGAATG